CGCATTCACGTACGAACGAACTCTTACAAACATTTCCAAACTACATTACAAACATACAGAACATTTCCAAACATGCAACAAGAACTTTATTCTTCTAAAACTACAGTTTAATAATTAATCCAACTTCGTGAGCTCCGGTAAAAATATTCCCAGTCTAAGAGACATAACTCCAACAATTCTTTAACTTCTACGCATGTGCATCAACACACGAATAAATACAATGTTATGTTTGTTTTAAAACCATTTTTTGTCCATTCTTCTTGTATTTCATGCTTTGTTGTATTTTACGTTTAATATAAATTGTGTGGGTATGTTATTCACGCAGCAGTAAACAAATATCCACAATGGTCTTTCCTCTTAACATGCCTTTAGACTGCTGTGCTAATCGAGATTTTTTTCCAACCGAATATTACTAGGAGAGAGCGAGAGAGAGAGAGAGAGAGAGAGAGAGAGAGAGAGAGAGAGACAGACAGACAGACAGACAGACAGACAGAGAGAGAGACAGAGACAGAGAGAGAGAGAGAGAGACAGACAGACAGACCGAGAGAGACCCCAACCAACCAATCAATAAATTTTTCCAGAAAAATATTCTAATGTTCTGTTAGTTGTTCAATTTTTATAAGTGGTTCGTGTTTAGTAATTTTCAGACATCCCTTTTTATGTCTTTCAATGATGGCTGTAACCATCGTAAAAAACATTTTGTTTTGTGTTGTCATTTATGTCTCGGCATGGAGATTAAACAGCAAACTTATTAAAGGGAGATAATTATCGATGACTGTTGCATTTCAACAATAAATTCTATGTTTTTTTTTCTTTTGTCTTCACCCAATTCTTTAAAGATTACCAGCTAATTAATCAAATTTAATATTATTTCCTTGGAATTTTCGATTATTATAATGAAAAGAAGAAAATAAGAATAGGTAACAGAAATGGCTGAATACAACATTAAAAAAATTAGTTGGAATTTTGTAACTGGGAAAGGACCTGATAAAAATATTGGAAGATTTCTTTCTCTCATTCTCTCTCATATATATATATATATATATATATATATATATATATATATATTTTTGCTACCTCTCTTTCTCTCTCTCTCTCTCTCTTTCTCTCTCTCTCCATATATATATATATATATATATATATATATATATATATATATATATATATATATATAAGAGTTGAACTCTGTCAAAGGTTAAATTTTCATTATTAAACGGTCTCGTAATCCCATACCGGTAGACGCCAATTTGTCTGATGCAACTCAATCAATTAGTATCCACTAATAACGATTATATTAAAAAGAAATATCTCTCGATATGTGTGTGTGTGTGTGTGTGTGTGTGAGGGAGTGGTCATATGATGTAACGTTTAGAATATTTTTTGATCCCTTCTTGTTCAAGCCAATAACTTTTAAATTCCTAATAAACACACACACACACACACACACACACACACACACACACACACACACACACACACACATATGTAAATGTTTTGATAAGGATCACGTTCTATGTTTACTTCGATAAATTTTTATGAAGTCAGAGGTCGATTCGACACTGTATATTATGAATAGGCTCATGAATAGGACAAATGATAAAAAAAAATCGATTTTGATAAATGTTATTGCTTGAGAACCGTTTATCTACAAAAATTGTTTTAAAAAATGATTCTCTTTTTTTGCGAGCGGACCAGTCAATTTAAGTAGTACGTATTTATTTGTACATTTAAGTAACAAGCGGCTTGGATTGAGAAATCGGAGAGCCGAGTTCGAATTCCAGTCAAATCCATTACATTCATTTACGTTCTAATGCCCTTGGGAAAGGTATGAATCCTCCTCTTCTCTCCCCACCTCAAGCTATCGGTAAATAGCAGGAGAGACCGGGGTTCTATAGCCTTGGATGCAACTGGTCTACCGCCGAAAGAGATGGAAACCTACAGCAGAAAAAAAATCTGCTTCGTCAGTCATGTATTAAAAGATACATGAACGCCTAAGCGTGTATCACGCATGGTATATAACTAACTGTACTATCAAGATGATATTAAGCGTAAAGAGTTGTTTATGGTCATCAATGCAATAAAGTGTTTTTTTATTCACGAGTGTAAAAAAGTTTTTTTTTTTTAATCGATTTCATCCTAAGCAATGTAATAAATACAAAATGGGGGTTACTGGGTGTGGAAGATCTGAAACATTACCAAGGAGAGAGAACAATAGAAGAATAATCAGGAAGACAGTAGATAGTGATTGACATTACATTTAACTTTTTGAAGATTAAAGTTGGCTGGAAAGCACGGAGCCGGGAGAGAGTTACACAAGTGAAAAGTACTGGAAAAGAAACTGTTACATATTATGTTACGCCATATTTATTACAACGTTTCGGACGTTGTACGGTCCGGCCTTCTTCAGGTGGTTGGAATGTCGAACTGAACCCTTTATTTCGCTCACTGGGGTAGACTATTCTAGTTCCACATGCCTTGTTTAATGGATGCCAGTTATCAGTTATCTCCTGTTAATTTACCCACTGAAAGTTCCCCACTGCCTTAACCGGATATTGAACTCACACACTTTGGGTTCTGTCACTGGATATAACAAACGCCTTTATCCACTGTGCCATGTGTCTATGAGGACATCTGGGTATTATAAACCTAATGTCTTCAAAAAACCATTTTTACCAGTGCTCATATTGCAATTTTTGCTGTTATCATTTCATGTTTTTACCAGAGCTCATATTGCAACTTTGTTGTTATTATCGCTTTTCTCTGGCACTCCTTATTACTGGTTCCCATGTTGTATATATTTCTATGCTTGGTCGGCTCAGGCAGTGGAGAACTTTCAGAGGGTAAATTAACAGGAGATAGCTGATAACTGACATCCATTAAACATGGCACGTGGAACTAGAACAGTCTACCCCAGTGAGCGAAAAAAAATGGTTCAGTTCGACATTCCAACCACCTGAAGAAGGCCGGAGCGTACAACGGCCGAAACGTTGTAATAAATATGGTGACAAAGATGAGGACAATAGTCCGAATAATGTACATAATACCTCATCTCAGAAATATAGACAGATACTGAAGAAGGCCGGAGCGTACAACGGCCGAAACGTTGTAATAAATATGGTGACAAAGATGAGGACAATAGTCCGAATAATGTAAATAATGTACATAATACCTCATCTCAGAAATATAGACAGATACTGAAGAAGGCCGGAGCGTACAACGGCCGAAACGTTGTAATAAATATGGTGACAAAGATGAGGACAATAGTCCGAATAATGTAAATAATGTACATAATACTTAATCTCAGAAATATAGACAGATATTGAAGAAACTGTTAGCATAGAAGTTGCGGTTACATCTAGCCAACTTGACTGTAAATTAATGAGACTTCGTCGCCAGTCTAGTCAGTGAGTTAAGTGCAATACGCGATGCACACTTGGGCGATCATGTCTCTTTTGATTCATGACGGACTAGGTAGAAGATTTTCTTTCCCGCGGTAGGTTGACGTTCCTTTCTGCGGTAGACTGGTTGCCAACCAAGGCTACAGGGTCTAGTCTGCCCTGCTATTCAACCCATAGATAGGAGGAGAATAGATAGATTTATACCTTTCCCAAGGGTATTTGCGTGTAAAATTCAAAAAGTCTAGGTACCATAGGAAAGTGCTCATGCGTGAAAGTATTTATAGAAAAAGCACAGAAAGGAAACATTACAGCGCTGGGAAAGTGACAAAAACCGAGATGCCAGGTCTGAACCAATAATATTGCTGATTTTTTCTTTGAATTTTATCAAGAATATCTAAATATATAGCAGGAGTACCGAACTATAAGTAGTACCAATATTCTAATCATGGCTGAATGGTAGACTTATAGATATAGAAGAAAGATTTTGAAGAGAAATTGTCTAGCATGACACAGTGGAGCAACTTTCTTAGCAACTGACCCAGCAATGGATTTAATATAGTTCTTTCCACTTCATATCAACCGAGAATGTTAGCCCGAGAAGGCACAGCGAGTATCTCTCCTGGATGTTAGCATCAGCCATGCTGGCAGAAAGGAGTCTCTCAGATTATTAATAAAGAGCAGTTTTCTTTTGGAGGTGTTAAAATTAACAAGCCATTCTTTGCCCCAGTTAACAACAGACTGAAGGCCGTTTAAGACATCACCTACTAATTTGACCTTATCGAACTGATCAGACCTTTTACAGAAAATGGAAGAAGACAAAACTGTAACCTGGACCGTGAATATGATTTTCTTTCTACTGGATTTATTGGAAAAGAAGATTTAGTTACTATAAGTGAAAAGCTCATCCAAACAATTGCTATGAAAGTATTTATAGAAAAGACACAAGAAAGCAACTTTATGGCAGTAGGACAGTGACTGAAGCCGAGAAGCCAAGTCAGGACCAATAATATTGCTGATTCTTCTTTGGATCTTACCAAGGAGTTCAAGATAAATAGCAGCGGCACCGGACCATATGTGGCATCAATATTCTAATCATGGGTAAATGATAGACTTATAGATATGTAAGATAGATTCTGAAGAGAAAATTGTCTAGCATGACACAGTGAAGCAACTGACCCAGCAATGGATTCAATATAGTTTTTCCACTTTATATCAACCGAGAAGGCGCAGCGAGTAGCTCTATTGCATGTTAGCACCAGCCATGCTGGCAGAAAGGAGACTCTCAGATTATTAATAAAGAGCAGTTTTCTTTTGGAGGTGTTAAAATTAACAAGCCCGAGTTAACAATAGACTGAAGACCGTTTAAGACATCAGCTACTAATTTGACCTTAACGAACTGATCAGACTTTTTATAGAAAATGGAAGAAGACAAGACTGCAATCTGGAACGTGAATATGATTTTCTTTCTACTGGATTTATTGGAAAAGAAGATATTTGTTTTTCGTTTTCCTCCCCGCTTTTAAGTTTCCCAACGGTTTTAGGGCTAAGATTTAATTATATCAAAGAGCTCCAAGATCAAATATATCACGTGTGTTTTCTTACCTGGAACTTGCAGTTCTTCTGCCAGCTTTTGTCCAACGGTTTCTGCACATTTAATACAGTCGTCCATGGTGGCGTTTCTCACTGGAATGAATGGACACACGTCCATTGCACCCAGCCTGGGATGCTCACCTGAAAAATTCGGTTACGATTTTAGTCAATAAAAATTAAGGTATGTCATCGATCGGGGAATCTTTTATTTTTAAAGATAGTAATTTGATTACGTCACAGTAATTTAATAACTGTAAATAAATAAAAAAAAACGACAGGAAATTGTGAAGAGCCTTGATCGTAAACGTCCTGAATGGATACGGCATATAGAAAAAGAAGAGATAAAAATATAACAACAAATACAAATTAAAATTGCCTAGAAGCTAAATAAGACTTTGACAGATGGATCACGCCACGTCATGAGTCCCATAACCCATTAAGGTCCTAGGAGTAGAACACGTGCAAGCGAAAAGTACGGGAAAAGAAACTGTTAGCATAGAACTTACGGTTCCATCTAGCCAACTCGACTGTAAATTGATGAGACTTCGTCGCCAGTCTAGTCAGTGAGTTAAGTGCCATACGCGATGCACACTTGGGCGATCATGTCTCTTTTGATTCATGACGGACTAGGTAGAAGATTTTCTTTCCCGCGGTAGGTTGACGTTTCTTTCTGTGGTAGACTGGTTGCCAACTAAGGCTATAGGGTCCAGTCTGCCTTACTATTCAGCCCATAGATGAGAGGAGAATAGATAGATTTATACCTTTCTCAAGGCTATTTGCGTGTGATATTCATAAAGTCTAGGTACCATCGCAGCAGTGGTTTATCTAGGGCAGTGTTTCTCAACCTTTGTTTTTACTTTAGGGCGCACTTGTAGAATGACTAAAACTCTGGGGCGAACTTCAGATTTTAATAAAGAAAAATTAGTCATGAATTTTGAAATTTTGATTTAGCATTCCAAAACAGGATTAGCGGTACAGTTTTCATTTAAAAGGATTTATGAAGAATCTGCTATTTTTTTATTTATTTATTTTTTGAGAGGCCGATAATGATAGATTTAAATGTCATGAGGAAGGTAAAAGGAAAAAAATTATTCACTCCTTCTTAAAAAATATGGAATTCAGCTTCCAGTTTAAAATATAAAATAACAAAAACTTTACTTAAACATGGAAGTCACTTGCTTGGAGTATAGATTTTTTTAAAGTATAAAATTGATTCTAAATTACTCTTCTGTTAACTTGGCACGCATCTGGCTACCTTTGAAGAAGCATTTGTGTGTCCAAGTACACCGATTGAGAAATGGTGCTCTAGAGCAGTGGCTCGCAACCGGGATCCATATAGACCCTGGGGCTCCACGTAACATTACTGGGCGGAGGCACACAAAAAATAACAAATTGGGGGTTCACAGTAATATTTTAGTGGTTTCATAGAGCAGTTTCAATTCGGAATGGTTGTTTCAACTGAGAATTGGAATTTCTACAGTAATCTACACCATATTAAAATAGGAAAAAACAATTCTAAAAATAGCAGAAAACGAGATCAAGGGATATAAGTTAGCACCACTTTTTTTTACGCTATCGGATGTTTTGACTGTAAAAGTTGAATAAAAACTGAGAAAGATATATAAAGGAAAATTATATAAAGATTATAAAAATAATTTAATATATTAATAATAATAATATTAATTATAAATATTAATAAAAATAAAATATTAATATAAATTAATTAATATAAAATATTAAAAACATAAAATATTAATAATAAAATTAATTTAAATTATATAAGGATTATATATAAAGCAAGGATTAACAGTATTAGCCTCTTCAGCAGTAAAGACAATTTCCGGTAAAACTATCCACTCTGAGGGACTCTATATGTACTAGTGTACATAACTGTTCCATAGATTTTAGTTGTTAAATACAAGTTTATTTTCATTAAATTAGATTTACTTCAAAATAAAGCATATATATTTATTATTTCTATAATGCAATTACTAAAATTATCTATTAGTAGAAAATAAAATAAGCTTTTCTTTTTATCGACTGGTTATGATTATGAGGGTGTACCAAAAAATTCAGAGTAAAAGTGGTCTATGGGTAAAAAAAAAAAAAAGTTTGAGAATTACTGGTCTCTACTAACCTGATGAAGCCCATTTCTCCTCAGGCTGGTTTTAAAATACAGAGTTTTCTTTATTTACACTATTTACATTGTTCGGACTGTTGTCCTCATCTTCGTTGCCATATTCACGACGTTTCAGCCGTTGTACGCTCCGGGCTTCTTCAGGTGACTGAAATTTCGAACTGAATCCTTTATTTCGTCAGGACACATGACGCAGTGGATAAAAGCGTTAGTTGAATCCAGTGACTTTACCCAAAGATTTGTGATTTCAATACCTGTCTACAGCTGAGGTGTACAAAAACCTTGGAGAGTTGAGTTAAAGGGAGATAACTGATATTGACGAAATAAATGGTTCACGTCACGTTGGTGCGAAAGTGATTGAAGTCGAGATGCCAGGTCAGGATCGATTACATTACATTACATTATTGAATCTTGTCAAGAATCGAGATATACAGCAGGAACACCAGACCAGATATGGCAGCAGTATTCAATGCATGGATGAATGGTAGATTTATAAATATGCAAGAAGAGGGAATTGCCTGACACAGCACAGCAACCCAACCAATCCTATCAGTAGATCTAGCAATTGTAATCGAGGCACGAAAGAAAAAAGCTAATCGGAACAGTTGCCATGAAAATGATTGTAGAAAAGACGGATGGGAGAAATTAAGTAACATTTTTCAACACATTATAATTTTATATTACAAAGATCTTATCAGAAGCTCAAAATTTTATTACAGCTATAAAAACGGACATAAAAAACGTCAAGAAAAGGAAAAACTACTACTAAACTGTTTTGTTTTGCTCCTATATTCATATTACTGTGGTTGTGTTTTTTTGTTTTCTTTGCATTTTTTTTAATCATGTCCGTGTTTATCGCTGTAATAAGATTTTATATTTGAAGAAAAATGTAACCCAAACGCAAAAGAATAAAAAAGAAGTTGGTCGGTTGTTTGGTTGATTTTGTTTAACGGCATATCAACATCTCAATGGGTTATTTAATGCCGAAATCTAAATATTTTGTACGCATTTTTATGCTTTCAACTACAGATATTTTGTACATCATTTTATACTTTCAGAGTGAAGGTATGTTTATTAGATATACCATATATAGTTTTTAGTTTCGCAATTAATTAAAATTGTTGTTAATTTTATTATAAAAATGTATTTTTAGTGTTGCATTAATTGTCATTTTGCTATAAAAATATATTGTTGTTCATTTTATTATAAAAACGTAACGTAAGGAGTTCACTATTTGCTAGGAACAATAGAAATTAAGAGGTGTTTCCACGCTCCTCAAAACATCCATTCTCATAATCAGAGGCCTTGTTTATTGTCATATCCAGGATCCCCCCCCCACCAAAAAAAAAGGTAGTTGTGCAGTTTAGGAAAAAGGTATTGTAGATGATTGAACGTACCGAAAGTAATTTTTGAGAATGATTTCATTATTCGAGTAGACTAGCTGAGGTTGATAGAAATCAAATCAAGTCATTAACTGAGAATAATAATCAATTAACAAGAACCAAAAGTCTAAAAATAATTTGCATGTTCCTTTTTATAAAAAAAAAAAAAAAAAAAACGAAGAAAAATGAAAAGTGGGTACTTTACAAGAACGTGAGATGCAATACATTTTTTAGCAAAAGAACCAACACTAACCTTACCGAGCCTTGATCTTCATCCAAAGAAAGTAATGCTGTGTGTATACATAATGGAAGTCCTCTATTATGAGTTCCTTCTGGAGAACAAAATGGTTGATTCGAAGAAGATCAGTTGAAGGTAGTAATCGACAAAAATTTCCAGAATGAGTTAAGAGAAAGGGCGTAATATTCTATCTAGATCATTGCTGACAAGGTGACAATTTTTACATGTTCTTTAAGAAATTTCTCATATATACTCTTGGTGTCAGTTTAAACTGACACCTTATTTTCTTTAAATGAAAAATATAAATGTAAACAATAATCATGAAAGGTGAAAATTTCATTAAAATATGATGGAAGGTTTCTAAATTTTCATATGAAATCAAGAAAATGCGAACTTTAAGCAAAGTATAGGAAAATAATACGGAGAAAAAGACGTCAGTTTAAACTGACACCAGGAGGTTTTAACCCAGTGGTTCCCATTTTTTTTTCCCTCTGAACCGCATTTTCGGAATGAAAATTTGCTCGCGCCTCACCAAGTTCTATGTGATAAAATATATATTTAAAAATAAGAAAAACAGAGAGAGGTTTCACGAGAGATAACCGCGGATTCGAAGTCAAAACATTATCATTGATAACTCTCTCTTCCAATTTGCAGACCCTAGTTACTATATTCTTAATCTTACTTATTATCAGATTGTGTGTGTGTGTGTGTGTGTGTGTGTGTGTGTGGTTGTGTATGTGTGTGTGTGTGTGTCTATAACATTTTTCAACCGAAGGACTACGTAAAATTATAGTTCTGACAGCGCCAAAATTGAAAACCACAATTGTTTTTGCACGAATTCAATTTGTAAACACGATTAAGAGGCATTAATGAAGTGGGACAACTCATATCGAGTTATACTTATTATAAAAACCCAGGTTGTGTGTGTGTGTGGTGTGTGTGTTCGTTTATATATGGGATCGGATTTCCTACATTTTTCAAGATTTCAACAAAATTTCACTTTTTTTGGCAGGTAGTGTTTTTATTGTCTTGCACACTTTTTCTTTATTTTTACATTCAGAATGCTTTAAAAATTCCAGTTACAAGACAATTGTTTATATATTCTATTCAATCGATAGATATAATGATTGAAAAAATGTTTTTGTTTGAGTTTGGTTTCAATTCGTAATAAAAAATAAAAAAAAAAAATAAAAAATTTCAACCTTAAACAATAATCTTTGTCAATTTTATTTTTCAGGTCGATACTTGATCTATTGTTATATCCCCGGGCAACGCCGGGCTCACTAGTCTTGATATAATCAAAAAAATATCAAAGATAAAATTTGTCAATAATTATTTATATCTATTTATACTGGGTCTCA